GACAACCGCGTGGCAATCCCTGGCACGCCCCGGACGCCCGTCTGCGACTCACTTTGACGCGACACGGACCGAGCTAGTCGAGGAGTTCGCGCTGGTTCGCCGACACGACACGAGACGACACGAACGGAAAACAAACAAAGGCCTTCAAAAGCCCCTTGACGGCCCGGGACAACCTGAAAAGGACCCACAGACGGCCCAAGCGGGGCCCAGGACAGCCCGAGAGGGCCCTAAGAAGCTCTCGCTTCTCCAATGAGACTCCCGAAGTGGAAAGCAATGCTTGCAGGGTATATGATGAGATGACTTGGGACGGCGGGGGGCAGCATCGTTCATGCACCTTTGGTTTACACTGATCATCATCCTCACTTCCTCTTCCTCCTCCTCCTCCTCCTCCTTCTCCTCCTCATCCTCCTTCTCCTGATCCCTCCCTCGTTCCCTCTTACCTATGCTGGCCTGTGCCCTGTGGGTGGAAGCAGAAATCCGTTGCCAGAGAGGTACAAGCAGGATCTGCCGATGCGCGGGATGCAAGCGCGCAGGATGCCCTCCCGAAGGCACCCCAAAATAAAGTACACCACCACAATTCATGCCACCCCACCTTCTTCCCCCCTGAGGAAGCAATTCCTGGAAGATCTTCGTAAGAACGACTACGGGCGAATTTGCCAGAATAAAGGGGGACATTACGCCAGATCAAGCCAGATTTAGCCCAGGATGAAACCCGACTACGCCAGACTACGCGGGGCTAAGCTAGATCAAACGAGCTTATCACGGATTCGGAAATTTGTTCACCACGGGTGCACCGTACCGATGCTGCATTTAGCCTCCCAGAAGTTGCGTCCTACCGCCCCCCACCCCGCCGCGGCCTGGCCGATGGTCGTAGGGATCCGGCCGAGGGGCCTCCCTGAACCTTGGTCCGCCGCAGGGCCGCGCAGGCCGCAGGTGCAAGCGCGGCGCGCTGGATCTTCCCCCGTGTGCGCGCGGCACACGCGAGACCAGTGCGCACCCCGATCAGGCTAAGACGACCGGTCCAGGCGACCAAAGCACGATATGCAGGTGTTTGTCAGCGTCGGGCGAACATGTCGTCCCGTTGGGAACTTTTCCGAGCCAAACTCTCTGCTGACAATGCGATGCGCATGCAGAAGGACATGGGAGCACTGCCACAGCACCACTCTTCCGCACCCCCCCCTCTCTTCCGTGCCCCTCTTGCTCGAGGGAGGTCCTCGGCTTTCTGGAACCGAGGGTGCGGCATGCTCTGGTTCTCGGGTAGGGCGACGGGGCTGCTGACTCGCGGATTCGCTCGCAGTGTCGGCCCTCGTCTCGGACCTCGGTTCGGCACATCTTCCCTGCCCCCACGTCAGCCCTGCTCGCATCCCCCGCATGTCGAGCACACGTCGGCCGCTCTCCCTGCTCGTACTTCCGAACAGCTGATCGGTGCCTGACGCCGCTGGCGACCCACCTCCTGGTTCACGGAGTGGTTTTGCTTGCGTTGTCTGCAGGTCCCTGTAGCATCGTTGATGTCTTCGGCCACCGACACTGGCGGGTGGGGTTTCCCGCGATGTCATCCCTATGAGCAGCTCCTCCCCAGATGCAAGTTGGACGAGTCTCGATGGGATGGAAGCCCGAGAAACGAGCAAAACAAGAAAGACGCATACTTACAGAAGATGTTCAACGGGAGATCAGCCAGCGCGTGGGCAACAAAATTGTGATGAGCACGCGACACCATTATCGTAGCATCATAGACGACATCCTGGTCGCTCGAAAATTCCTGCTCCGGTCGAACGTCGACTTCAAGACGACTGGCAGATACAATCGTGCGTACCCCGTGCTCTTGTACCTCCTGTGCTATCCGAATCCTGGCGAATCCTGTCAGCTGACCCTAACTTGCACAGCGTATCAGTGTATCCCAAAATTTTATTTGTGGTGCTGACAGAGCAACGCAAGCATTAGTAGTTACTACACAAGAAATGCTCTCATAATGAAGGCGCCCTCGAAGCAACCGACGCGGCTTGTGCGACGCATGCTCGTTTCTTAAGTGAAGGGAGACCTGACAAAAGATTGCCCTGGCAACTCGTCGGGGAAACTCGTCAGGGAGGGAGAACTCTTCAGTTTCCTACGAACTCTGGGAGCAGGGGGCTCCCTGTGAGGGGTACGCAGTTTGCTCTCCAGGTGGAGGGTTGGATGTCTGAGCAAAGGGTTGGTTCTCAAGGTGGACTTCTGGATCCTGAGGGAAATGTCATGATCCTGGGCAGAGAATACGTTCCCTAGGTGCGACCCTATCAGGGATCCCAGGCCCGAGCGCGAACCCCCTACGGCGCCGCAATGAACTTCGCATAACTCTAGTCTTACTCTTCCGGGGAAAAAAAAACAAATCTTGGCGGTAATAGTTGTTCTGCGATGCAGTTGGATGGCACGCAACGGTTACGATGATCCGTGGTGTTGGCGACGGGGAAAGAAGAGGACGAACCTTTGCAGGCAGTACAACCACGCGCTCGAACAAATGCAACGCGGGTCATTCGAGGACAGAGGCGCAGGGCATGTCGGGAACGAATGAGAATCGCTAGCGGGGAGATACCCCGATGGCATTCCGAATCCAGATTTTAGGCAGGACGCAGTCGCTTCGGACTACTAGGACACCTCGACACTTGCATTGCTCACAGGCCTCCCAGACGCCTCTCGGAATCCCCTCAGACGCTAAGATTTACGTAAGTTTCGGGGAGCCTTCTCAGATGCCAGAAGGGAAGCCACTCAGAAGCCAGTCGTCCAATGATGTGTTGCCCCACAGCTCGCGTCACTTCCCACAGCGGCGTGCCAAGGGCCACGCTGAAATTCTGAGTAAACTCCCATCTGCATCTATCGTTCGCAGGCGGCATGCGCTGAGGAGGAGGAAGAGGAGGAAGAGGAGTAGGAGAACGAGGAGAAGGAGGCATGTACTGGCCTGTCCCCAAGGAGGCACTGAGGGCAATGTCTGTCACAGCGAGCAACAGCGAGGGCCTCAAACAAGGACGGAAATTCAGGAGCGCCAGAGGGTGAACCAAGTGCGCCACAGGGCCATCCCGCGTTCGGACTGGGCCCCAGCTTGCACGAGCAAAGCTTGACTAGGAGCTCCGACTGTGAACTCCATTAGAAGCTACACTGGGAAGTGCACTACAGGTTATATTCGGAGCCCTACTAAGAACTCTGCGGCGAGCTAGACTGGGATCCCTACAAAGAGCTCGACTGGGAAACCTACTAGGACCTCGGCTACGAATGTTCCTAGGAACTCGACATTGAACTCTACTACCAACTATAGCACGATGTCTACAGGGAGCTCTTACCGGAGCTGCACCGAGGGCTCGACTCCAAGTCCCCCGCGAGGAGCTCTACGGGGACCTCAACCAGGAGCTGCATGTGGAGGCCTACTTGGACATCTTCTGGACTGCACCGAGTGCTCTTCGCACAAAAAACATGTGCACATCGGTCTGCATCTGACATGATGCGTCTGGGCGTGGTGCTTGGTGCCCGGTGCTCGCTGGCTGGGGTGTGGTGTTCGGTGTTTGGTGTTTGGTGTTTGGTGGTTGGTGTTTGGTGTGGAGTGCCCGATGTCGTGTATTGTGTTTTTGGCGGTTGGGTATAATGTCGTGCCTGGTGTCTGGTGGTTGGTGTCGCGTCTGGTGTGGATGGGTGTTTGTTGTTTGGCGTTCGGTGCCTCCTGCAGGGTGTGCGGTATGTGTTGGTTGGTGGTTGGGGTTTGGCGTTGGGGTGGTTGATGTGTGGTGTTTGGGGGTTGGTGTGAGGTTTGGAGGTTGGTGTTTGGTGTGTGATGTTTGGCGTTTGGGGTTTGGGGTGTGGCGTTTGGTGTGTGGTGCTTGGTGTGTGGTGTTTGATGTGAGTGTGGTGGTTGGTGTTTGGCGTTTTGAGGTTTGAAGTTTGTGGTTGTTGTTTGGGGTGCAGGGTTTTGCGGTTGGTGTTCAGTGTTTGGGTGGTGGGGTTTGGGGGTTGCTGGATGGGGCGTGAGGTTTTTGGGGTGGTGTTTGAGTTGTGGAGGTTCGGTTGTGGTTTGGTATTTGGCGTTTTAGGTTTGAGATTTGGTGGTTGGTGATTGGTGTTTGGTGCTTGGTGTTTAGTATTGTGCTTGGTGCTTGGTGCTCCGTGTGTGTGTGTGATGCTCAGAGCTTGGTGTTTGGTGATTCGCGTTTGGCATGTCAGGTTTCGGATTTCGGGGTTGGTGTCTGGTGTTTGGTTTCTGGGGTTCGGGTTTACCAGAGTGGCGTTTGACGCTTGTTGCTTGGTGTTGGGTTTGGGTTGGGCTTTAATGTTTGGTGGTGAGGGGGGGATTGGTGCTTGGTGTTTGCAGCTTGGCGTTTAGAATTTGATGCCTAGGTCCTTGGGGGACGGTCTGGGTGTTTGAGTGCTTGGGGTTGAGTGCTTGGCATTGGGCTTTGGTGTTCGGTGTTCGGTGTTCAATGTTCGGTGTTTGATGGTGGGGTTTGGGGCTTGAAGTCTGGAATTGTGTTTTTGGTGCTTGGGAGAGCGGGGTTTGGTAACTGGTCTTCAGCGTTTCGCCTCGAAAACTTCGCGGATGCTTCCTAGAAAAGGTTCTCTCTCTATCTCTATATCTATGTCTGTATCTTTATCCATATATCTATCTTCCGATCCTTATATTTCTATTACCCGGAACCCCACACACACGCACACACACACACACACACCTAAACCGGACCCCCCCCCCCAGGGACGCCCTGGACGCCCTTTCGGACGTCTCGGCGGCCCCCGGGACGCCCTTGGAAAAGGTCCGCCGGCCCTTCCGGGCCTCCCAGGGCGCCTTGCCGGGCCTTGCGAGCAGACTCAAAGCGATCAGAGGGGTCATCCGGGTCATCAGAGAGGCGCAGTAAAGACCCAAGACAGCACAAGAGCGTCCCAAGAGGAACCTGGATGGCCCAAAGACGGCCCACGAGGCCCCCAAGACTCCCCAGGAGGCCGTTCAGCGAGCCCCGAAGAAGCAAAACTCGTCCCGTTCCCTTAGGAATATATATATATATATATATATATATATACACAAATATATGTATATAAAAATATATGTGTGTGTATGTAAATATAAATATACATCTACACATATGTTTTGCATATCAACTTTTTGAATCTTCACAGCGTCCAAGAGGGTCCGATGGGCCCCCGATATGGCCCCAAGACGGCCCAAGAGGCCACCCAGAGGGTGTGATGACGGCCCGAGAGGGCCCCAAGACTGCCCCAGAGAGCCCCGAGACTGACCACAAGAAACACAAGATGCCCCCAGAAGGCTCCCAAGAGAGACCCACGAAAGCCATGGGAGACTCCCAAGAAGGCCACTGGAAGCACCCAAGAGGGCCCTAGATGGCTTCTGAAGACCTCTGGAGGGCCCCAGCTCCCCAAGACGGCCCAAGAAGGCCCCAGGACGGCCCAAGCGGGCCCCAGGACGGCCCCCCAAAAAACCTACAAAACGCTTGGACGGCGTTCTCCGTGCGCTCGCTGTGCTCACGACAGCCACCCTGTCTTTCCCGTGCCTCTATCACCATCTCTCTCTCTCTCTCTCGTTCTCCCTTCCCTTGCCTTCTTCGTCGACCTCCATGTTCGTTGCATCCGATTGCCATCCTCATTCGCCCGCTCCTTCCTCTGGACCTTCTCCCGTTTCTCCCTCCCTCCTCCCCCCTTTCCGCCTCTTCAGCCCCCCCTCATCTCTGCTCCCTTCCCGTTCCCCGTTCACGGACAGGTGCCATCGCAACGGTTTGATGCTTCGTCGTTTGCCAGCCCTTTGGCGCGTGAAACAACATCATTCCTTCCCCACTCCTGCGCACAAGCGTGCAAACGCATCCGGCGAACGCGGTGTCAGCAGGCCCCAAGGATAGCAGAAAAATTAACCAATCGCCCGTCCAGTCCTCCAGGTCCCTCCTGCTGAAGCAAACGATGACTTATTGCTTTGCCGGGGAAGCGTCCGGAACAAGGCGCATGGCGCGAAGCGCCATGTCAGTCTTGTGTGTGATAGAGTACATACATAAACGCATACACGCATACACACATACATACATACATACACGCAGACATACATACATACATACACGCAGACATACATACATACATACATACATACATACATACATACATACATACATACATACATACATACATATATACATACATACACATACATACATACATACATACATGCATACATACATACATGCACACATACATACATACATACGTACATACATACATACATACATTCCATTCCATTACATTACATTACGTTACATTACACAACATTACATTACATTACATTACACTACACTACATTACATTACATTACATTACATTACATTACATTACATACATACATAGATAAATGCATGCATACAAACATACATACATACATGCATACATGCATACATACATGCATACAGGCATACATACATACATATATACCGATACATGCATACATACATGTATACATACATACGTACAGTCATACATGCATACATGCATGCATGCATGCATACATACATACACACATGCACACACACATACATACATGCATACACATACACACATACACACATACATACCCACACATACACACATACATACATACATACATACATGCATGCATGCATACATACATACATACATGCATGCATACATACATGCATACATACATGCATGCATGCATACATACATACATGCAGTCATGCGTATATGCATACATGCATACATGCATGCATGCATACATACACATATACATGTATATATATGCATGTATATATACGCAGGCATACATACACACATACACACATACATACATATATGTATATATACACATACATACATACATGCATAGATACAGACAGACAGACAGACAGACAGACAGACAGACGGACAGACAGACAGACATGCATGCAAACAAACATATACACACATACATACATACATACAGGAAACATACCTGCTTACTTACATGCATGCATACATTCATGCATACATACTTACAAACACACATGTGTGTGATCTGTCTTTCCCTCTCCCTATAGAACCCGCCTTTTACCCGGAGAGCCCCCCGGGCACTTCCCTCGCCCTTGACTGGGCCCCGCCCGGGACGGGGGCAGCGCGCACGGGCCCGAGCGGCCCCTCGCGCCTCCCGACGGCGGACCACACCAGGCAGGTCAGCAGCCCGTGGCCCGAGGCCAGTGTTAGGTCGGGCATGTCCTCCTGCCGGGGGGACCTTGGACGAAATATGAAAAACAGTCAAAGAAACAAAGACTCGAAGACAGTCATACAGAGTCGAGAGATCGTGCCCGGACTACTGCTGGACTATCTTTGAGCACTCCTCCTGTAGAGGGACATGCCCGACTCAGGGCCGGCGGGTAGGGGCGGCATCGGCGATCCGCAGAGGAGCGAAAAATAGCAGAAACAGGAGGAGGAGGAGGGAGGAGGAGGATGGAGGAGGAGGAGGATGGAGGAGGAGGAGGAGGAGGAGGAGGAGGAGGAGGAGGAGGAGGAGGAGGGAGGAGGAGGTCTGCGCGGATCTCTTGGATCTGCGCTGGACCCCCCTCCATGGCGCGCGGAGCGCGCCATGGGGCGCCGCCGCGGGCCGCCAGGGGGGCCCACCGCTGATCCAAGAAATCCGCGCGGAGCTCCGAAAGTGTACGTTGTGCATATGTTGCTGTTCCTCTGAGAGTTTAGAATCGCACCAACATACCAATATTGGGACTTCAACGCCGCGAATCAGCTTGATCGTTGCGTCCTGGCAATCCTAAATGAGGGTCGGGGAGCTGTCGACGATCCGGGGGGAGGCTTGGCCCGGAGCGTGAAGGCGGCCACCAGGGGCAGGTGGTCGGAAGGCCTCGTGCTCGAGGGCAGGGCCGTCTCCTGCCGGAGGTGCGACTCGGCGTCGACCTCGGAGATGGCGAGCACGCCCAAGGAGTCGGACGAGAAGAAAATGTAGTCCAGGGTGCCCTTTGTGAGGTGAAGGCAGGGCGGGGGTAGAGCAGGATGAGGATAGATCGGGAGTCTCAGAGAGCGGGCGGGCCCGGAGGATGTCTCGGGCGCCGCGCCCGCTTCAGCGCGCTTCGGAGCGCTCTTGAGAGCGTTCCAGAGCGCTCTGGAGCGATGCATCCCGATCCTGGGCCTGTCTGACCTTGAAAAGCTCCGTGTAGTTGGTATATGCAGCCTCCCTGCCGCTGCAGGCCTCGTACGCCGAGGAGAGCTTCAGGTGATGCCCGAAGTTGATGCTGTCCAGCAGGCCACGCTGGCCCGATCTCAACTCCTTGTGATCTGGGCGGATGCATCCGGTCACGATGTACTCGTAGACCGCAGACTGGGGCAGGGAGTTGAAGTCGCCGCAGACTACTAAGGGGATCCCCTGGAGGCCGCTGCAGGTGCTCAGGCTCTGTAGCAGGTTGTGGCACTGTACTATCTTCACGTCGGTGAACTCGGGGTCGGCGAGTATGTGGGTGTTCACCACGCACACAAGAGGGCCTCCGCCTCTGGTGGTCAGAAGAATGTCCCACGCAGCTGCACGACCACCGTTCGAATTCGAAGACGCTACGGAACTCAGAACGCGAGCCCCACTTCCTTGCCGCCGAGTCTTGAAAAAGCCAGGCAGTGGCGACGCGCCCACTGGAACCAGTGGCAGAAACTCGCCGTCGAGAGGAGAGTCCGGAGTTGAGGTAAGGAAGTGGATGGTCGGTGCCCCCCCCGTCGGACAAGGACCCCACGAGTGCCAAGGCCCGCGGCGTCCTGGTCGCTCGCCACTGTGCTACATCTTCAGGCGCTGCTGTTGAGACTCCCGGAGGCGAATCGAAGCGGCCGAGGCTTCGTTGGCGCCCTGCCCCCAATGCACCTGTCTGGCACGCCTGCTGAGAAAGGAAGGCACCCTTCTCTGCTCGCTCCCGCCCCCCCCCCCCCTCCGCCCCCCCCCCCCCCAGAAGCCCCCAGGAGGCCGGCAGGAGGCCCCCAACGGGCCCTCAAAAGGGCCCTAAGAGGCCCCCAGGAGCACCCAGGACGCCCTCCAAATAGCCTCCAGGTGGCCCCAATCCCAGCACTCCGAAGCGTCTCCCGGCCATGCTCCTCGGAGCTCTCCGCACGGGCTCTGGCCGAGAAGACGTCGTGGCAATCGATCGCTCCGCGCCTCCTCCTTCGCACGGACCTACTGTGTGATACCCTTCCTCGCCCCTTCGAGCACGCCAGTTCCGTTGTACTCAGCCTCGCCTAATCAAGCCGTGCGCCCTCCACAGAACACGTCCCACGCGCACTGGCCCGCAACCCCGGCAGGGCAGAGCAGACTGGCACGGCAGACCAGCACGCTGGCACGCCAGAGCAACACGGCAGCCGAGAGCGTCAGGCCAGCCCTGCAGGCAGACCAGCACGGCAAGGCAGCATCTGCCCGCAACCCAGGCAGGTTGGCGGGAAGAGCGGAAGGTCACTAGATCAGTCGCCCCCCGGCGGCTCGTCCCGGAAGTCCTTGGCGCTTGGCATACCGAACCCGCAGGCCCTTCGGCCAATCGCGCCGCACCCCACGAGCCGTCTGCGTCAAATCAGGTACTCGCCAGCATTTCCGAGCAGGACGGCTCCCAGAGGGGCCAGAAGACGAACCCAGTCGCCAGCGATACGGCCCAAGCTGAACCCTGGTGACGCCCAACGTGTCTCAGATGCTTCCGAAACGGCCCAAGAGGGCACCTAGACGGCCTTAGATGGCGCCAAAACGGCACATGAGGCCCCAAGACGCCGCAAGAGGGCTCCAAGAAAACCCCAGGAGGGTCCCAAGAGGTAAGCATTACTGATGCTCCTGTGGCTTTTGGCACGTGTTCGCGTCCTAGCCGTTTCGAGCTTCCGGAAGCCCAAGGTGGCCCAAGACGACCCAAGATCGCCCCAAGACGGCCCCAGAGGCACCCAATATCGCCCCCAGACGGCCCAGGAGAAATGCAAGACGGTTCTGAAGGGCGCTAAGAATGGCCCAAGACGGCCCAAGAGGGCCTCAAAACGGCAATGATAG